AAGAGTTTTCAGTGAATCCCGTTGTCATCACCAATGGATGGCCTACTATCTGACTGCCTGTCTGTCCACGCAATGGCTATTTATACCTCATTTAGTGCCATATGTTTGCATATAATTGAATGCTTTTTATAGTAATTGCCGTATATTTTGTGTACTATTTATAAATGCATACAAATTCGCCATTTTATGTACATTTCATGAATAAAGTGATATTCACTACAAACAATTTATAAATATAAGATATTTATTTTAAAAAGATTACATTCATATTTAATTATAATTATTATAGTTCCTTGCGTGTTAAAAACATTTAATTTAACAATAATCATAAGTGAATAATTATAATTTACAATAAACATATTCATTGTATCTCGGATTATATAAATTACAATGATTTATTTTAAGATAATTTAATTAAAAATATTACGGTACAACATTTATAAACATTCATTATGAAAACATTAAGATAATTAAGATTGAGTCATGTAAAAAAAGTAAGTTTATTATACTGTAAATTCATAAATACTTACTTAATCCCGGATTAAAGTATAGATCACGGCCCCAAAAATTGATCCTGATCTCTGGTGGTTGATCTCTGCTAACCTCCTGTTTCAGTCGTGTTATAGTCTGTAATGAATTATTTAAAATAAATAACCTACCAAATTATTATATGCATAATAATTTATATAAAAAAGGTTTTGACCATGGTAATCAATTCAGCCAAATGTTTATTCCGCGAATACTGTGCTATAGTATGACTAAACGCCTGTCCAAATGATGTCAGTCCAGGTGCGACTGAACTCCATGATTTCATGTCTGATTTTGTTTAAAAATATTATGATTATGATCATAAATACAGATGGTTGTTTCTTAATAGTTTGGAGGTTTTATGTAACTAAAAATATTTATTAATATTATTTTTTTTAATTGTAAAACATTTCTATTTGTTTACCCTTTATGTTAACTATAAATTAATACCGGAATTGACATTTAAATATTGACCTCCTAATTTTGATCAACCGAAGTTTGCCGCGCTTATGTTTTAGTATTTTCCAGAGCTTTTAAACATTTAATGGCTCATAATTCATTTGGACTTGGTTCAATTGTCAAAATAATTAAGATTTCAATTAAGAAAATATGAAATATTAATATGGATATGATATTTGTGTATAAATTCAGGCCTTATTTAAGATTTAATCAAATTAATAATTTGTGATTAATTTTGTTGAAGTGAATACAAGGTTAAATGGCCCATTGATTGGAAAATATTTTTAGGTAGTGATCGCCTTTCAATATTTTTAATTTTGTTATCGTAATTTATTTCAAACTTCTTATGTTTTGAATATAAACTCTAATAAGTAATCTATCATTTAACACCTATAACATTACATTATATCTTATAATAAAAAAGTTTTTACAGTTTGAAATCCTCCAAAATATTAAAAAACACCCTTTCTGTAAAAGTGCCTATTTGATATTTTAATATTATTCATATTGATATGCCTTTATATTGCATATTGATTTTCAATTACATAGAGCAGCAATATAAACTTAGTTGATAATGTACTTTTATATTTGATAACTACAAAATACTAGTGCAGTATTATCTATTGAATAATTAACTTAAAATATTATTTATAATTACTATTAATATTTTATAAATTTTAAAATGAATTCAAATGATTATTTCCACCGACAGTCTAACACCAAGGTGTTAACATTTATCATATATTTGTTGAATAAAATATTTGCCATTAAACTAGAGACTTTGTACGACCCTGGTCATGCCGTATCACTATTCGAAAAGTGGTGCAAAAACACGTATTTCTCGAAATTGCGTGCCATTTATTTGTAATTTATAGCGTACATACTAGCTCAGTATATCATTTATTTCATATTATTTCATAATAGTATTTTTGCCTGTTTTTATTATAAGTATAATTTTTAGTAGTATGATTACTATACTAGAAATAATTTTTAGATATTTCAATATTATATGAAAAGGCTAATTTAAATTTAAAATTTCAATAAATTATGGCCATAGTCGGTCATCTTCCGACATAGCCTTTAATATTTTAATATTATTCACATTGATTTGCCATTATACTGTATATTGATTTTCTATTACATAGAGCATCTATATAAACTCAGTCAATAATGTACTTTTATATTGAATAACTACTAAAATACTAGTCCAGTATTATCCATTGATCTTTCCATTTGCTGTCCAATCCTTATATGAAGAGATGCATTGAAAACGGTATTTATATTTAGTTTATATGATTTAATTTATCCGTATTTTAAAAGTTATTTTGTTTAAAATATCGATAAATTTTTATAAGATCGTCCCAAATAAATAGCGCGTACAGTTACACCTACGATTATGAAAATTTCGCAACTAGTAGAATAACTTATTGAAAAACACACGAAAATTAATTTTGTTTTAAATGTAAATTTAAAAACGCAAAGTGCATATGAAGCAGTTTAAGCAAAACAAAGCTCTGTTAGCATAAAAACTATATACAGTAGCAATACATATTTGATACTCTTACACAGATACCGTCCAAAATTTTTTAAATCGTCAAAATAGTGTTTTATAATATTAGCAAACTTATTAACTATTCAAAACACTAGTATTTTATGATTTACAAGTGACTATGAATTTCATTTTAAATAGTAATATGACTTAACCATATATTAAACACAAAATAATATTCAAATGATTAATATAAGTTACTAGTAAGAGTTGTTTAAACAAACATTAAAAATATTTTTGAGTAAATAAGTAATAGCCATAAATGATTAATAAACTAATATTAATGAGTTTTTGAATAAATGCTACTTTAATCCTTAATGTATTCTATAAACTTTAAAATACTAGTGTTGTATAGACTTTGCTTAAATAGTAATAAATAGTAAATGCATACATCACTAGTTGGTTTCTGGAAACCATATCTG